GGTTAACCTTTTTTTTTTTTTTACCTCCGTTTTTTTTTTTTCGCGGTAACCATAATGGTGGTCGAGTAGATCATGTTGTGCGGGGTGGAGAAGCCTCACTCCGCGCAAGGGGGATGATCGCACCACGTTGTGTTAAAATGGTCAAGCACCCTCGAGGCAGTTACACAGTGCTTACAACTGTCTCTGGAAGTGAAAGCACCAGAAAATAAATTAATTCATACGCAGCTGTCATCCGTACGCAAGGAAGTAAGCACAAGATGCCGAACACCCTTAGCAGGATGCAGCGCACCCTTCATGCGACTCGCCGAATATCTCACGGCGCTTCGCGCTTGGTGATGTGAGAGCCTGGTCCGGTGAGAACCCGGCGTGCTCCGTCCCGGCTTTGTAGGGATGCGAGGTCAATGGTCTAACGACTACGGCATGCACGACTGTGAGTACCCCCCCCCCCCCACCCTCCCGAACCACCCATGTTTGAGCCACACAGCAGTGTCCTCCCTGATTGCTCCGGTGCATTTCTCTTGCCCTGGTTCATCCAATACATTTGGCGACGTGGCTCTGAAGTCTGGATAGAATTTTCCCACCTACTCTTAGCAACGTGAAATCCTCGCCCGCCCGGGGCATGGGTAGGGCTCATGTACCCCTCCAAGCCTCAATCATGGCACCGCCCATTGCTACACTTCCAAAAACGGTCGACGCAGGCCAAGCTACTAGACTTCGGGCTGTCGAAGGCGATAGACGCTGACACGGGGGGCTCCGTGGCACGAACATTCGTCGGGACCCCCAGCTACCTGGCGCCGGAAGTGGAGGAGAAGAAAGGGGGCAAGGGGAAGCCGTACGGGACGCCTGTGGACTGCTGGAGCCTTGGGGCCATGCTGTACGTCATGCTGGTCGCTCGCTTCCCGGAGTTCCAAGTGCAGGTTAGCCTTCGCGGGCGTGGGCTTCTGTTGTGGTGGGCGTGTTCTTAGGGAGTACACATACTCTCAAAGAATGAATGCTGTGAAAAGAGGCAATCGTTCTACGTTGGGAGATTGCAGCTTTTTTTTGGTGAAGGCCATGTCCACACTACCCGTTCGAGATGCAACCACAGCAGTCGAAGGGGATGGGTTTGCGTTTTTTTTGTTTCTTTGTGCGTGTTGCCGTCGGGTTTTGGCTTCGTTGTCTCCTCCGGCCCCGTCAGGTGATGCTTGTTTTTTTTTTTTTATTAAAATCGCCAGGCGGTGCTTGCGGTCGGCGGTACCTCGATGTTGTTTGTGTGAGTTTCATGCCCACTGTGGCCAACTGCCCTGCAGAACGACGACCCCACGATGCACAGCTAGCTCTACTGTACTTTCGAACGTCTAGCAGCGAACCTCATGCCATCCTTTCCCCATTATTGTGCGCAATCTGCTGCTTGCTCCCCTGTTGCCTATAATAGGGTGGAAGGAAGCACATCCGCATGCACGGGGCCGCCTGGGACAAAGTGTCAGCCGAGGCGAAGGATTTGATACGGAACCTGATGGCGTTCGATGCGGAGGCGAGGCTATCGGTGGACAAGGTGCCTAGAGAAACACACAATGTTGATAGTCTCGAAAGATGTTGCTTTGGTAGTACCACCATTGGGAGGATAGTTGGCCTTTTACGGGTTGAATCGCTTGTTGCTGCAGCGTCGAGCGTTAAACTACAAGCGCCAACACAGCAGTGTGTTGCTGTTGCTGCGACCACCCGTTTTGCTGTGGCGATCACACGAAAATCTGACGTCTAGGATGTTGCGAGTTCTCTCCTGCGATGCAGCTGCCGTTCGGGGTGTAATAAATACTCTGGGGTAGCACCAACGAATGAAGCCACCCCCTTCACTAACTAAAGGCTGTTGCGGGTAGGGTAAGGATTTCGGGGAACAACCAACAAAATAATGCCCACCCCCTTCCGCCCCCCCTTGCGCGCAGGCCTTGCGGCACCCATGGTTGGGAGACTTGGCTGCGAGGGATGCACCACCGTCCCCATTGCAGCAGGCGCCGGCGCCGGCGCGAAACCAGTTTCAGGGGATGCCCCCGCTGTCCGAAAGCTACGAGTTTGTGGCGTCGCCGGTTCCTGCGGGGGGAGCGAGGGCGGAGGCGGCGGCAGCAGCGGGCGGCATTTCCGATTCTCTTGGCTCGCAACCTCACCAGCAGGTGTAGGGAGTGGGGGCGGCTGTTAGGCGCGGCATTTTTTCCGTATCGTGGTCTTGAATTCGGGTTAGAGAAAGCTGCCTGCATGTTAAGCCTGGAGGGCTTTCTGGTTGTTTCTTATAGAACAGCACCACTTTGGAAGGGGCGCTGGACTCCCCACTGGCCTTCTGTCTGCCTCTCTCTTTGTGCTGTTAGTACATGAGGACACCTGTGCCTGTTTTATCGTCTTCTCTTTCGTTCTCTCCCCCCCGAGCTTTTTTTTCCGTTGTAAACCTTCACAATAGTTTATTTTTTACGTTATTAGCCATGTGTGGGACATGGTTGTTTGTTCGAAGTTGTGCCCTAGCTGCTTTGTCGTCCTCGAAATGAGATTTGTTCGGTGTCGCCTCTAGTGTGCTCGGCGCAGAGCAGAGTAATTCCCCGCACAGTGGCCGCAGCGTCAGAACCGTATCCCGTTCCGCCTGCTCACATGCCACCAAAACCACCGAGTTGGAACCGTAAACCACCAAAGACAACAGCGTCAATCCTAGACCAGCATAGACAGGCTCCCCCTTATGGGTGCCCGACTGGCAATCATGGTTTGTGTCTCTGAACGCCCTAGTACCGCACTCTCCTACTTCCTGCTGTCGACCTCGTTGTTGGAATGCTCCATCGTAGTCAAACGGGGGGGGGGTCAGCAGCAGCAGCAGCAACGGCGGCGACGGTGCGTGGGGCGGGAGGCTTCCTATCGTCACCGAACAGGAGACACCCCCAGCAACGACGGCCAGGAAGTCGTTCGAGATTTCCCCTTCGGGTCCCTCCATCCGTGAGGTACGCAGCAAGCGAAATACGATGCCATGGTCGTTGTTGGGTGCCCATGTTTTTTGTCGTCGGTGTTCATGTTGTCTTGTTTTGGTGTAGATGGTGATGCTTGACGATGTGATGTCTTCATCATCTGCTGTATCCACCCCGAGCTTTGGTTGTATTGCGCGTAGGGGTTCGTGATAATGTGGATTGTGGACGGACTGCCGACTGCCATATTGAAGGGTGGGCTTCAGCATTCCCGGCTCTCGTTTCATTCGGTCCTCTCAGGACTTCCACGGTATAGTTTTCCCAAAACAAATGCTGGAAACAAGCTTTGAACAATTGGCATCATCATCCTTGCGTATGCTGTGCCAAACCAGATATTATGCCATCGGTTGATTTCGGGGGGGGGGGG